AAAAAAAAATCAGGCTTGTGCGGGAAAAGCGGAAACACTGTCAAAACTCATTCATGCTATATCTGGGCAAGCCCACACTGGATGGTTCTGGTACTGCAAAGTTTGTGATACATAAATTAAAATTTAATTCTTAAAAGTAAGTGATATACCGTATTTGTTTCTTGCCCGACCCTATATCCAATGAAATCATTGGCTTTATCCACAGGGATACAAATTCATTTATCATATCAGAAGGTATACAGTAACGCCTGAACTAATGGAATGTGTTGCATTCATAGTGGAAGCTGATACTGAGAAATGCAATTTTATATGAATATTTTAGCATGATAGACAACAATCTTAGAGGTTCCAGTTTCCTAAAATAGTCAATTTTGTAAAGGCAGATGAAATCGCATGAAATTTAGATAAAGCAGGTTCTTGTGTTGTAAAAATATGTATCCTTGGAAAGCTGGTGTTATTACTCCTTTCTTAGATAATCAGTTGTATTTCTTTGCAATCAGTGTACCTTAAGTTTCCTTTGGAAGATATGCAAACTTTACACAAAAATAGTATCCCAGCAGGGGGCAGTCAGGCATAAGATTGATGATTTTCATGCTTAAAATGAGCTTTTCTTTGTTTGGAGTCAGGAGAAAAATCCATCCATTAAAAAGAACAAGTTTTAAAGAGGTGGCAATTTGGGGCCTAATATCTTTTGAGCAAACACTTGCAGTTAAGCTAGTGGTAAGCTAGAGAAAACACAGAGCTGTTTTGTGGAAGTACAGCGAATTGAGCAGAAAACCAAATGTGCTTCTGAGGGGCCCAAAGAAGGAGAGAGGGTGGGTGGAAAATGGATGTGGCTGCGCAATTATTCACATTCTGAAATGAAGGAGCGAGCAGCAACGTCTTGTCATGTCTGACACTGGGCTTTCCTGTTTCTTGAGCCTCCTCCTGCCCTCTCCTTTGGTTACCCTGCTTGCTAATTAGCACTGGCTCCGTGGAGATATTTACCTTTTCTCTGTGGATTCCTGCGGTTTCCAAAGAATTCAGGTACTTACTGTGAGCCAAGGAATTCACATTACCTCATAGACTGTATTGTGGCCAGAGTCTGTTACAGCAGCCCAGTCCTTCTTACAGTAACCCCTGCCTGGCAGGCCCTTGATATTTTGGGAACACAGCTAACTTAAGAAGTGGGGAAATAGCAACAGGTCTCATGAGCAACTTCTTTTTTTAAATAGCAAATGTATCAGTTTTGAGCCACAATATTTTGTACTTCTTTCTAATGCGGATTAATTATATTAGGATTAAACAGCCTGCAGCTGTTGTTCTCCAAGATCAGAGAGTCAGGTTTACTGCGAAGATGTAAGAACACTCTTGATTGATGGGTTAAAAAGAAAAAGAAAGGAAGAAAGCTGAAATGATAGCTGGAACTTGGAAGAGGAGCCAAGAGAGTAAACACTGGTGTGAGATGAGGCAGATCTGACCGTGATTAAGTATAGAGGATTACTGGGGGGG